AATAATAATAATAATAATAATAATAATAATAATAATAATAATAATAACAATAATAACAATAATAACAAATAGATACTTAACTAAATATTATATATATATCTACAGATATATATTTATGCATATATTTCTATCTTATTGATATTGATTATTACACCGATCCGGGCGACAGGAACAGGAGAGGCGGCAGCTACAGGCGTCCCTTCAGGGGTTCAGGAGGGAAGCCTTTCCGGCGCTCCAGATAGATTCCGTACCTCCCTTCCCATCGGCGGGCGCCTCAAGCATTTCGCCGACCATTTCGCCGACCGTGGTCCCCAAATCCTCAGGTGGATGGAGGGCCATCCTAGACCTCAAACATCTCAACCGTTACCTGATCTACTGCAGATTTAAGATGCACACCCTGTAGTCCATTCTACTGAGCATCAGGCGGGGGGACTGGCTATCCTCTATAGACCTTTCAGAGGCGTATCTTCATATCCCAATCCGGCCCTCCCATTCCAAATTCCTCAGGTTCTGCTACAACCATCGCCACTTCCAATATGTGGCCCTTCCCTTTGGGTTGGCCTCCGCCCCGAGAACCTTCACTAAGGTCCTCGCGGCTCTGGCGGCCCATGTCAGGAACCTCCCGGTTCGTCTCTACTGTTACCTGGATGACATCCTCATCCTGTCTCACTCCAGACTCCAAGCAGAGAAGGATATCAGAGCTACTCTCTCTGCTCTCCAAGACCATGGGTTCCTAGTAAACTGGCAAAAGAGCCAACTGTTACCATCTACACGGATCACCCACTTGGGGTCCGTCATTGACTCAGTTCAGGGAAAGGTTTTCCTTTCCTCCGAGAGATTCCTTAGCATCCAGGAAACTGTCAAACATATCAGACGATCAAGAAAGGTAACACTCTTAGAACTGTCTAAATTACTGGGTAAAATGGTCTCATGTATCTCCATTGTTCCCTGGGCCCGGCAGAAGCAACTCAAAGGCCACGGTCAAGGTGCCGTCAAGGGTCCTCACGTCTCTCCTCTGGTGGACCAGTCCCGCCATCAACAAGGGACATTGCTTCAAGGAGCCCCAACGCCTCACCCTCACCACAGACGCCAGCCTGTCCAGATGGGGCGCTCACATCCACGCGCTCTCGACACAGGGCAGATGGTCACAGGTAGAACGGGCATACAGTATAAACTGGTTGGAACTCCGCGCCATCCACCTGGCCCTGCGCAACTTCCTCCCTCACGTACGTGGGCGGCATGTCCTTATACTCACGGACAACGTCACCGCCAAGGCTCATGTCAACCGACAAGGGGGCACCCAGTCCATACGTTTGATGAGAGAGGCCGAACGCCTCTGCCGCTAGGCGGAGCACAATCTCCTCTCCCTCAAAGCCGAACACATCTCAGGGGACTCAAACACCCAAGCAGATTGGCTAAGCAGCACCACGGTGGACCAGTCCAAGTGGCGCATCCACCCGTCACTGTTCAGGGAGGCGACCATGATGTTCGGTCCCCCGTCAGTGGACCTCTTCGCATCCCCGCTCAACACACAACTCCCCAGGTTTTTCTCGAGGTACCCCTCCCACGGGGCCAAGAATCACAACGCCCTCCGTTGCCCCTGGCCCACAGGGCTTCTATATGCATTCCCTCCATTAGCCCTGGTCCCCAGAGTCATTCAGAAGCTCATCTCCGAGAAAGCAGAGCTGATTCTAGTGGCACCCTACTGGCCCAGACACCCATGGTTTGCGGACCTCCGCAACTTATCGGTGGCCCCTCCCTGGAAAATCCCCCCGAACAGGATATCCCTTTCTCGGGCCCCTCCAACACCCGGATCCTCAGTGGCTTTAGTTAGCCGTCTGGAGGTTGAGCGGGAACGTCTGAGAAAGGAGCAGTTTTCTGACCAGGTTATTGATACCATTTTAGCCGCCAGGTGGCCCCCAACAACCCGAATATACAATGCCACTTGGAAGGGTTTCTGCAAGTGGTGCCATAGTCTCCAGGTCAACCCGCTTTCACCCTCCATCGCTCAAGTTTTGGAATTCCTCCAAGAGGGTCTGAGGAAAGGTCTTTCCCCGAACACCCTGAGGCGTCAGGTCGCAGCCCTCTCAACCGTCATTATTAGTGACAACCTAGGTTCCCTCTCCCTCCACCCTCGCATTAGGGCATTCCTCAGAGGAGCCACTAACTTGTGTCCCCCAACCGTACACAGATACCCTACCTGGGACCTCAATAAGGTCCTGGTGTCGCTTACCAAACATTCCTTTGAGCCTCTCAGGGAATCCTCACTCCAGTTCCTAACATTCAAAGTCGTGTTCCTGGTGGCCATTACTTCGGCTCGCCGAATATCGGAGATAGCAGCCTTGTCGGTGAGGAAGGACCTTTGCATCTTCCATGCCGACCGGGTGGTTCTCCGGCCGGACCCTACCTTCTTGCCCAAGGTCAACTCAGCGTTCCACAGGGCACAGGAGCTCACACTTCCGAACTTCTGCCCCAATCCCTCGCGGGAAAGGGAGAAGCTTTGGCACACCCTGGACGTAAGATGGGCTCTCCGCATTTACATTAAGCGTACCCAGCCCTTCAGGAGGTCCGAATCCCTGTTCCTTTCCTTTCAGCCCAAATCCTTAGGCCACAAAGTGTCCCTGTCAACTATCGGACGCTGGATTAAAGCTACTATTTCCAAGGCTTACTTGTCCCAGGCTCTGCCGGTACCCAGCGGGATAACAGCGCACTCCACCAGAAGTGCAGCCACCTCGGCAGTTTGGGCCACTCAGGCTCCACTTGCGGATATTTGCCGGGCGGCCACCTGGGCCTCCCCATCTCCCTTCATTAGACATTATAAGATAGACATATTTGCCTCGGCGGAGGCTTCGTTTGGTAGACGAGTCCTCCAGCGAGTCCTCAAGGAACCGCAGGGACTACAGAACCAGACGGAGTCCCTCCCGTAGGACAGCCAAGCTTTGGTATGTCCCACTCTCTGGATGATCCGAACGGCTCCCAGGAGAATGGGCGTTGGTTCTTACCTGACACGCCATTTCTCTGGAGTCGTGAGGATCATCCAGCCCCACCCTTATTGGTTCACCGTCTGGTGGGGTCTTGTTTCGGCCAATGAACCCTTTAGCATAGTAAGATGAGAGCAAGATCTTCTCTTCACTCTCAACTTCGCATAAACTGGGGATCGCAAGGCAGCCACGTGATGAAGGGCGGAGCGATCCTCAGTAATTAAGCTCAGCCTTCAACGACGCAGACTGAAGCACCTCCCACTCTCTGGATGATCCTCACGGCTCCAGAGAAATGGCGTGTCAGGTAAGAACCAACGCCCAATGTAGTGCTATTGGTTGCTGCAGCACTTCTGATCTGCTGCAATCACGCGAATTTCCTTTCAGTAGTCCATGATAGTTTCCCAGCCAGTCTTGCAATCCCTTTCTGTCCCATCCCCCCTGCCAACAGCCATAGTATGGGTAGCAGTAGGAACTGTTTTTCTGAGTTTTCCTGAAAGCTGCTATTGCCCATTTCAGCATCTTCCACATTTGGACACACTTTATTTAGTGTATTAGAAAAATGACGCTTGCATTATGCACCTTCATTTATTCTGTTTTACCGGTAGTGCAGCGGCCATTAGGAATGTGTGTTGTGGAAGAGTTGTGGAGATGGGATGAAGTTACACATTATTTGATCCAATAGAATTGGTACCCATAAAGCTCAGATAACTTGAAATAACTTTTCCATCATTTTAGTGGAACATATTTACCTGTTAATTTTTCCAAATGTAAAATGTAAAAATCAATTGTATAAAAATCAATATATCTTTCTAGCAAAGTGCAGCCTCAACGTTGTTGCTTGGTGAAGTGTTTTACAGGATGATTAGTGATTTATGCTCCTTTTTACAGAATGGTAGATGTTGGTGGACAAAGATCAGAAAGAAGGAAATGGATTCACTGTTTTGACAATGTGACCTCAATTATATTTTTAGTTGCATTGAGTGAATATGACCAAGTCCTGGCAGAATCCCATAATGAGGTAGGAAAAAGAAAAATAATTGCTGTCATAAATAGTTATTCAATACTCATGTGTATATCTTAACAGAAGTTACCATGGAAGGCTGATATTTGTACCAGTTATCTAGGGGGGAAAAGAGAACTCAAGAGATAACTGCCTAACTATGCCCTTAACAGAAAAACTATACCAGTGTAATTGGCTTGGACTTCTGGCAGAGGTATATTCATGTTCAACAAAAATAATAAAACATCCATAGTTGCAAATAAACTAATGTTTGTTATTATTTATTATTAATGTTTATTGTACTATTATTTATTATTATTAATAATAAATAAAGGAAATAAATAGCTTCACTTAATGATCACAATTGAGTGTGAAATTTTGGTTGTAAGTCACTGTGATTGTTAGGTGGGTCACCATATGACTTGATTTGATTTTACAACTGTTTTTACAAGTTTATAAAATGAGTCACCACAATTCTTAGGCAAATGACATGATCGTTAAGTAAATCCATTTTTCAGAATGGGCATTTTTTTTTGCCAGGAACTAACTGAAACTGGCAAAAAACATTGCAAAATATGATCACAGCACTTTGGGGGTGCTGCAACTGGTAGTAAATGTGAGCTAGTTGCCAAGCACCCAAAATGCAATCATGTGACCATGGGTGTGTGCGTGTGCGCACATGTGGCAATCATAACTTCAAGAAAGGGATTACAACCTGGGGAGGTTGGAGTCTGCAATAACTTTGAATAATCTTTAAGTGATAGGTCATTAAACGAGGACTACCTGTAATCAGCCACAAAATCAAACCTAGTGGCATCTCAATCAAGACATGTTCTCTGGAAGAGTATAATTTTTAGCATCTTCAAAGAACAATCAAGGGAACATAGCTGAGCTCTGCAGGGAAGCTGTTCCAAAGAAGGATCAGTTCCTCAAGAGCAATGCCTCTGAGATGAGTCAGATGGGTCAAGTCTGGTTGGAGGATATGGTCCTGGAGGTACCTAATCATCAAATGCATTCATAGGTCAAACCAGAATATTGAATTATACTAAAAGCTGTTTGGAAACCAATCAGATATTGCATAATGTTATCCTGGCCACTTGTCCTGGCTTAACACATAGGGCACTCCATCTACACCAGAGGTGTCAAGCTCTATTTCATTGAGGGGAGCATCAGGGTTGTGTTTAACCTCAGGGGGCGGGGTTGGCATGGCCAGCTTGATGTTACTTGAGTCGGGAGCACCTATGGTGACTCAAGCGCCCTGCCAGCCAAAACCGGCTCCCAAGCTCTGACCAGATCCAGTCCTCAAGCCTTGAGTTTGACACCCCTGATCTACACTATCTGAGGCTCCTAAGTGATCTTCAGAGACAATCACATGTACAAAGTGATAAAGGCCCGAGTTACTACAACACAGACCTCCTGCTCAAGTTAGAGCCGCAGTTGGTGCACCAGCATGAGCTGGTCAAAGATCCTCTGCCTATATCTTCCATTTGCCAACTGACATTAGCTTTGAGCATCCCCTAACTCCTCCTTCAGTCTCTCTGTTCCTCCCTACTAATGATTTTTCTGAACTTACAATTTACACCATCCAAAGCATTCCACTATGAGCCAGCCTCCAGGAATTTTGTACAGGTAGACTTTGAGTTATAAGGGCAATTGGGACCACAATTTCCATCATTAAGCAATAGAATCATAAAGCACAATGTCATGTCATTGCATTGCTTAACGATAGCAATCCCTGTAGTGCCCATGGCCATTGTTAAGAGAAGATTGTGGGTTAAGTGATCTCCGCCTCACAGCTTCTAACAGCCAAAGTCAGCAGGGAAGCCAGCAGAAATGTGCAAATCTCTGGTAGATTGCAAGCAGACCAGCAGGCAGGTAAACGACTGTTGCTGAGTGGGAGAGAAGAGTGCACGAGGGTGTGCAAATGTCCTGGAAGGCACACAGGTGGCTTGGGAGGTGAGTGCAACAAAATGTGGGATGGCTGCTGCCGGGTGAAAGTCAGAGTGAGCTGCTGGGGAGGTATGGTACAAGTGCAGCAAGGCATGGAAGGTGTGCAAGGGGGAATAACTGGTACAGACTTGGGATGGCTGCTGACAGGCGAAAGTGATCAAGTAGCTAGGGAGGCACGGCATGAGCTCAGCGAGACGCGGAGATGGTGTCTAAGGGGTTGGGAGAGTGTGTGAGCATAACAAGGTTCAGGGAGGATGCATGAAGGTCCAGGGATGGTTTACGGGTGGCCAGCAAAGCAGGTCATGAGGGCAGAGGGTGGGGCATGTTACATGGGTGGAGGGAGACTAATCTAAGCAATTTACAGTACAATCATCCCTGCCAGCTTCCCCATTGACTTTGCTTGTGGGAAACCGTCAGGGAGGGTTGCAAATCGGGATCATGTGACCTTGGGATCCTGCAACCATCGTAAGTGTGAGCTGATTGCCAAGCGTCTAGGTCGCAGCCACATAACCAAGGTGGTCCTGGGATGATAGGAACATTGAGAAAGGTCATGACCACCATCCTCAGTGTTGTGGTGACTTCAAAGAGAAGCTTATTGAATGGTCATTAACTGAGGACTACCTGTATCACAATCCTACAGTCCATTGCAATCCTCCAGCACAGGTAACTGTAACAATAACTGTAAAGCACTCATAATAAACATTTACAAGGAAGTGGTCTGCTATCAGGCAGCACCTTGATCTTGTAGCAGTGCTCATCTTAGTAATTCTTTGGTTGCAAGAATTACATATGGATACATATGGACTGCATATTATTAATCACACACAAACATCACCACTCCTGGGACAGAATACTTGTTTTCTTGCCAACTGTGCCCTCTGGAGGTGGTCCAGTAGTTTTCTGGAAATCTGCCAGCATTAAACATGTGCTCTTCTGGGAGGACACTTCTCCAAAACTATTGCACTATCCCAAAAAGAAATAGATCGTTGTGTTCCCGAGGTGATGGGGAGGAAGTTCCAGTGTTCCCAGGAACATTCTGTCCACAGGCCAGTGAAGTTTTCCCATCTCCACATGTCTATTTTAAGATGTGCAACAGAGTTTATGGCATTGCCTTGATAGCTAATATAGTTGCCCAAATTAATTACATTTTGTGTGTATGTCAGGATGCAAAAAATGGTAGAGTACATTTTGTTTTGAGTATTAAATGAAGGTGTTTTAATTTTTGAAGATAACCTATTTAAAAATGCTTCTTTGTTCTTTTATACTTCTCTTGTAGAATCGTTTGGAAGAAAGCAAGGCCTTATTTAAAACAGTAATTACCTACCCTTGGTTTCAGGATTCTTCAATCATCTTGTTCTTAAACAAAACAGATATTTTAGAAGAGAAAATTATGTATTCTCATTTAATTAACTATTTTCCCCAGTTCCGAGGTAAATGATTATTCTAAATAGGGCTTATCTCTGTTATGCAGGAGTACAATTTCTTCTATTCACTTACACAATTGGCACTATCTTGGTAAAACCTGTCAGCTATCATGGTTTTCCTGTGTTATTTTATTACTTGGAATACTTAGTCTGTATTATTGTAATTGAAGTTACACATCATCAGATTCTAATCCTAAGAGATGGATACTGATGCTAGAATAAAAAGTTATCATCTGTTCAATCCAGCATGTTTGAAAACAATGGACTGGATTACACTAATAAACATTGAGGGCAACAGGAGAAGGGAATGGCAGAAGGTAATTAGAGCTGGGATACCCACCCCCTAGGCCACGGCCCATTACTGTGCTGTGAGCCATTCAGAACTGGGCCATGAAAGCAGCAGACAAGCATGCATGTAGTTGTTGGCCTCTCCACGGAACCATCCCCTCCCCCTCCACCCCGGCCAGTCCGCAAATCCGGAAAGATTGGGGAACTCTGGGCTAGATAATTGATGGAACAAACATCAATTTTGGCAAACTTCAGGAGATAGTGAAGGATGAGGAGAGCCTAGCGTGCTATGGACCATGAGTCCCAAAGAGTCAGACATGATTTAGCTACTGAACAACTAATAAATATAAAAACATATTTGGAGATCTCAATCTGGGTTTCTCAAGTTATCAATTTTGATTTCGAACAGGACCCAAACAAGATGTCAAAGCTGCTGGAGACTTCATTCTGGAGTTATATAAGGATCAGAATTCAGACAAAGACATCTATGCCCACTTTACATGTGCCACAGACACCGAGAACATTCGATTTGTCTTTGCAGCTGTTAAAGACACCATCCTTACTCGGAATCTAAAGGAATTCAACTTGACATGAATAAAAGGGAACCAGCTACATACGTTTGACTATAACGCAATTTTATTTATTACTTATATTCTGTGTTAATAGATTTTTTTAAAAAAGATTGTTTGTGTCCTTGCTGAATATGGAAGGGTACTTCGAATAAATTTAGAACTTTTTAAGGCATAGATTTTGAATAGTCTGCTTTTAAATTTTTGGAGATTTGTGAGCATTTTGGTCATAATCACAGAGATCCTTTCATAATTTATAATAGATGTGCATTTAAACCTAGTGAGGCCACAAGAATGAGTTTAAGACTTATTATTTAACAGAAAGAGGTGTGCTTAGATTTGAGTAATTACTTATTAAATCTGCTTTTAATGGTACTTTTCTCCTTGTTGTGAAAAATCAGCCTTAACAGGTGGCAGCAGTTGGTTGCTCTTTTTTTAGGCTCAAAAAAACCAAAATCAAAGCCTAATTATTACTTGGGTGTGAATTATCTAATCCTCTCAGGTTAGATTTTTTTTTTAAAAAAAAAAGCCAGAACTGGTCTGATGAAGGGACTAATAGTCTTCACATGCTGTTCCTGTTGAAATTTGCATGAAGTTACCATGAGCTGAACTTAATTGAAGAGTACTTATTTTACTTGCAATCAAACAATGGATATTAAAGAGGCTGCTTGTATATCTTTTTACTTAATGACAGGCAACTACAACTGACAGCTGCTTTTATGGAAAACTTTGATGCTTTAATATCATTTGCATTAATATTAATAGGTTAACAAACCAAAGGCAGTTGTTTGAAGGACCCTCTCTTCCCAATTACATCTATCTGCCAGGAAGGGTGCATTATGGGTCCAATCTGGTAAGAAGTTCCATCTGAAGGGAGCCTAAATATGAGTCTTTTCTGCTGCGGTTCCTGCCCTCGAGCCCAAGTGAGGTTGGCTCTCTTCCTATTCCAGCTTTCTGAAAACTCTGTAATAAAACATGGTTTTCCCAACAACTTTGAGGAACCCATAGGGAGCCTGTAAGATGGCCCCACTGTACTTAGAATATTGATATTCTCCCACAATCTTGGTCTCTTATTTGTGTTTTTTTTTTTTAAATGATTGTTATATTCGTTTTTAATCATTTGTTGACTGTATGCTGCTCAGTGACATGGGTAGCTATATAAATTTGCTAAATAAACAGTGGCTTTCTATGATCGACTAATCCTTGTTTATAACTTGAATAATGCTTTGATTCTCCATTCGATCCCTTTTAAGAAAAATCTTTCACCTATTCAAAATCTTTTATAGCTCACTTACTCTACAGCAGCCTACAACTGGATCAATAAAAGCAATCTTCGTTTTCAAGCTTTACAATCTCAGTCACTCAATACAGAGGGAATGAGGCAGGGAAGGGAGATAAACTATTTGGGCAGAAATCAGAGGCAATTCAAGGAAAAGCAGGGTGAGCTGCTTCTATTGGTGTGGCCTCTAAAGTGCTGCTGGAACATGGTGGTCGCTAGGTGACAACTGTGGACAGGAGACCATGTAATGTTGCAAGTTTGGCATTATTTTAAGCAAACTGTCCTCAATTTTTTGTTTGTTTGGAGAAGGTAAAGTGGCAGAAAATCAGTGATGGCCAGATCTGTGTGAATCCATGGTCCTTCTCAATGCAGACATATGTTATTGTGCTAATTGAGGAAGAGAACGGTTGAAATTAAGAAAAGTTTGCTTATGAGACGGTGGTGGTAAGGTAGAGCTTTATTGTGAAACGGCATTTGATAAAAACCCTCTGAAATAATTGCTTGCATCTCCGTTAATTTAAAAAAAAGAGCAAAAAATGATTGGGCGGTATATTAAAATTATTGACCCATCAACTGTATTATGTAATTTAATTTCCACAGTCACATTTTTCCCTCTGAGGATTTTTGTTTAATCTAGAAAAGAAACTTTCCCAATATCTATAAATATATCTGACTATACAACGGCATGAAAATTATGCCATGATGGTAATTATAAAGAGCCGGCAGTTCATACATTTTTAAATTAACTAAATTTAATTTAGTTACAACAGACTCCACAAAAGCTTATAAACAGGTTTCAAAGTTTAAATGTTGCCCCATAGTCACGTGACTGCATTTTTGGCACTTAGCAACTGGCTACACTTTTGGCAGTTTGCAGCATCCTGCAGTTGTGACCATGATTCATGACTGCTGGAAACCAGCATTTACTTGTAATTTCCAGCAAAAAACAACCCACAGCAAACAATGAATTTGCTTAATGACCCTGGTGTTTGCTTCAAGATTGTAATGAAAAAGATTTTTTTTTAAAGGGTCTGGTTACCTACTTTACAACTGTCATAATTTACAACTGTAATTGCCAGGCTTAATTATGGTCATAATTCCATAACTACCCGTAAATGAATTTCTCTACCTAAACATAGATTTGGTCGTGAAAACAAGTATTCTTGGTTCTGTGCTCCCCTCTATCCAAGCTGATTTTTTCTTCTCCTTTTATGGTCCTTCAGCAACATCCTAAATACCTACCAAAACATTTTACATATGTGCCTATTTGATAACTTTTAAAATAAACCGAGCAGATATGATGAGAATTTAAAAACTACATCCAAATAAGGTCAAATGAAACAAGTGTAAAAGCTATATATGTATTTATTGTATATCTTTAAAGATGCTATATAGTTGGCCTTACTGTACAATTAAATGCAGCGACTGAAAATGCTCAAGTGTGTGATGTGAAGTCAGAGACCCTAGATGGGTATCACAAACTTGAGCCACACAATATAAATTATACTTTGGCATTTCTGATAGTTTAATTTATAGGAGTTATATAAAGAAATAAAAGATTGGAACAATGCAATGGGGTTAGGGTACTTGCCTCAAGCAGTTACATAAAGCATATCAGAATATATTATAAATACATAACACATAATGTCACACTGGGCATGCCATTTACTTTATTCAGCTTTTCCAACAAAGCTACAGTTTGATTAGTTTAAGCACCACTAGCAAAGACTAGTTTTCCTCTACCACAATTCTTCAAACAATCTGGAAAGAATATTCTGGCAGCAGACATTTATTGTATGCATCAAACTATTCAAATCTGTATTAGGCAATATATTTTATGTGCATTTGCATTCCATTTCTCTTTTATGAAGTAGCCTCTGTCATAAAGGGGGGGGGGATAGGCAGTGTTTATTTGCATAGTCTTAAAATTAACATTGTGCAATAATTTTCCCCATCCTGATATTGTATGTGTGTGTATATATGCATTTTGATGAAAGTTTTAACATTACTTTATGAAATATTCTGTAATGAGCCATGGATTTTCCCTGTACATCCCCACCCCAAATCATAGGGACATTCTTAGATAAAATCAAGGGTTTGTTACCACTTTGGATCCAAAGCTGAAACGGTACTTCAGAGTGGGTACAAAAACACATGTGTGCATTTTCCTGGAGTTCTTCAGCAAGTCCAAAAGAAGACACAGCTTCTTTAAGGAGATGCCAACAGGACATGTTCACTCTGAAACATGCTTGTGACTTCATATCCAAAATGTAACTCATTCTTAAGTGAAAAACTATGATTCAAAGCTAATACAGTACTTCGGAGTGTGCAGAAAAACACATGCATTTTCCTGAAGTTCTTCTGCAAGTCCAGAAAAAGTCAGTTTCTTTAAGGAGGGCTGACCTATAGGATATAAGCCCCATTCATCTGAAACATGCTTTTGACTTCAAACCCAAAATATAGCTCATGCCTAAATGAACTAGTACTTTAAATTGCCATTCAACAAAATTTCTTATTTTGTTTGATAGCTATTTGCTTAACTGTGCGATACCAGAACATTTTGTTAATTTTTGTATTATATAAAAATGTGATTATTAAAAATGGTGTTACAGTACCATAGGCTTATCTGTTAATAAAAAATTAAATTACCTCATTATATACATATATATATCTATTAGTAAACAAAAAGCTTCTCCAACAAAGCAAGGTCAGCAATGTAATATCAGAATATTGGAACACCGCTGGTTGAATCAGTCTTCCTGAATTAAACTGAATTTCAGTGAATATTAAGTAATGTGATATATCATTACAATATTACCTTTAAATAAACACTGAACAAAAGGAGTTATGAGCAGAGAAGAACCTGATTACTACATCATAAGACTCTGCTAAGATGTTTGGTCTTGTTGATTACGTGGCAGATCAAAAAATAAAACCAATTTAGTTTAGATTTAAGCAATTATAATTTATAAATACAAAATCAAATAAGCCACAATTCAATAGCAGCTTTCGGCACTAGAATTGCTTGCACCTATTGATAAAACTGACCTTTTTCACTCAATAGTGTAGAAGATTCAAAAACAATTGATTTAAATACACAAAATTACTGTGTCAATCTCTTTGTATTTAAATAGTGTCACATGCTTTGAAGTATAAAACAACGATAATGTTCTTATTTTCTTCAACTGGTCATAGTTTTGGTTGACTCTCCTTTACTTTTTCTTCCAGCTTAGAAAGGATCCACTTGAAATTAAAAAAGCAAAAGTGATTTAATTAATAAAAATGGGGGAAAATGTACAAACTAATAAAGCATAGAAGCACTGAACAATTCATATGATGTCATGAATCTCATAGCTGACATTACTGTGAATCACCTGGTTAAGCCACACTTGGATGAAAACAGCTTCTCTGAGAAATGTCACGCACATGCCTTGCTACTTCTACTAGGAAAAATTTGATACCAGGATTATGCAATCTGGGCACTTCAGACCTATCTACAACTCCCAGCATCACTAAGAAGCACTGTAAAAGAACAATGGGAATTGCAATTCACCAGCATCTGAAATACTATCCACATATTGTACATTACATTCAGTTAATTCCTTCAAAACAGATATTAATATATTATGTAGTAATAGCATTTCATATTCACCTTTGCATCTTCTGGTGTTTTAAAATTAATTATTTTTCCAAATTCTTTGGCATGAAATACAGACTTCACTCGTTCCTGAAATAAACAAGCAAACAAATACAGTTTGTATTAAAAGCAAATTTCCAAATACCTAGGCAGCACTATTTTTTTCCATTCCAGGAAAGGATTCACAAGTTATATAATGAAATTAGTATTTATTTAAAATGTCTTTTACGTTTTGCAGATCTTCTCCCCTAACGCACAAAACAATCTGTGACTGGCTCCCAAATTTAATCTTTTTTTCTGAACGTTTAGAGTGCTCAGTTGAGGGGGGATGAGCAGCATCGAACTGCTGCAGTTAGAGCAAAAGAGGCCTCATCAGAAACCTTCTTAACCTGATACCTTCAAATGCACTGGATTTCAGCTGATTTAGCACAGCTGGAGACCACAAGAGTGGAAAAAGTTGCTATGTGGGAAGATGAAATCTCTAAGACAGCAGACTACATTAGACTGTTCTGCAACAGGGTGTGACCCTTGTATATATAGTAGAATATAGACATTTTTGCCAATCACTATGATTTAAATAAATAAGCTAAAGGTTTCTTATAAAGTTTAGTAAAACAATAAATTACAATTTTAATATTGTACAAGATGATTTTCAAGTATAGCTATATAGATAAAATCTTTTTGAAAGTACTGATTGAGAAAGGACCCCAAATACAGTTACAAAAGTACTTTGTTAGGACAAAACAGGGGGGGGAGTACTAAATATGTGAAGGAGAATCCTATCATTTTATTCATTGTTCTGGCATGTTAAACTCTTGCAAATTCATTTTGCAAGAGTTTAACTCAGAAGTCCTGTTTGGCATGGGAAAGTTTCCGTATCTTGATTTATGTTATGACCTAAATGAAAAAAAGGTTAATCACTAAAGCATCTTTTTTGTATGTAACATACAAGTAATGTCTGACTGTCTCTATCAGGAGCCTGATTTTCGGAGTGGCAACAATTCATTCATAGGATGACACCATATTGCCTAGTTGAGAGAAGGAATAAGCTACTTTCCTTCCCCAATGTGAGCTTCAGAGCTCTACAAAAGGTAAGGGAGTGATTGTGTGGGAGGACAGTGTGGAATCCTCTGGAGTGAGAAACTGGCCCAAGTCCTACAGGGATGGGGGAGAATATAGTTGGGGGGAGGTCTTCGCAGTTTCCTGTGGTCAGTTGTAAGGGAGAATCCACCCAAATTTTATGCACATGACCATGGGGGTGCAATGGCCTTAAGTTTAAACTGAATTGTAAGTAGCTCTTGGGGGGAATCCATCATAACTTCCAGTCATAAGTTGAGGACAATCTGTATGCATGGAAATAAGAGTAACAGAAAACAGATAATTCCAGGGTAATAGAATGACTTTTGCTTCTTGACCGGACCAGAATATTAGGTACAGATCCAGAGGAAAGAAATGGTGAAAAGACTGTCTTCCAGCAAGTAATTTTTCTATGATACTGAGCAAGGAGGGAAGGCAACAATAGTAATTTGGGAGATGGTGAAGGTTTGCAAAGAAAGAGTGAATTGTAATCAATAGAACAAACAAATGAAACTCAAGCTCCATGAAAAAATATATACATTAAAAATGATAACGTGTCCTTTATTGGCTAATACTAGTTAAGTATTATCCATAGAAAAATTTCTTACTAATAATCTCATATTTATATTATAAATATAATTATTTGAACGTTAATCAAGTAATTTGTTTTGTTCCATCTCTACCATCCATAACTTTACCTTTGCTTCAATGCGCAACCTTCTTCCATCAACAATGAATGGTTTCTTGGTAAATTCATCGTAAGTGTACTGCCATTCACATGTTAACTGTCCAAACGTACCTCTTGTCACAAACAATATGCCACTGTATATGAACACAGGACAAATAATTAAAACAAATACAATCATAAAACTATTTTTTTTTTGAGAAAAATGTTTAAGCCTTCAATGTCATATAACATCCAGTTTAAAATTATCTCAATTTCAGTCTTTTTTTTTTTAATCTTAGCATTTTCCCGCAAATATAGAGTCCACTTTTATTTGGCTCAACCAAAAACATGATAAAAAATGAAGCCTGGTGGCAATTAAAATTGCTACACATACTTCATCTTCAAGTTCTATCCACTGTATTTAATTCCAAATTCACTTTCATGTTTAGAAAATAATTTTGTCCATCACAAAATTATTTTTACTCTAATTTAAAGTAAATTGAGTACTAATTACAATCCAGATGTTCATAACAACTGTAATTTTAATAGCTGGAAATCTTTTATTCCTTTCATCACTTCTCTCCCCTACCTTCTCCCATCTTTGGCATAGAAGCCTTGAAGACAAGAACTATCTTTCTACTCACATTTCTAAGTTGTTCTGGGAACCATTTTGATTAAACATAAATGCTTTTGGTTTAGAATAAGAAAGTAATACTGGAGGAATCTTACCTTTTTGTAACCATTAATAAATCTGTATTATTAACCATTGCATGTGTAAAGTATCGTAGTTTTGCAAATCTTCCATTTTCAATATTCTAAAAGAAAAAAAAAGTTGTAGAGTTCCCTAGAAT